TCTCCTCTGAGGTGAAGCAGAGTGGGCTGAGGGATTGTTTACGTATGCATGGCTGGGCACTGTGCGCCTTGCGCTGATCCCACCCTCGCTCTCCCAGTTACTAGATGCTGCCTAGTGCAGCTAGTTCGGCAGATCACTGCCAGGAAAGATCCAACTGTTCCAGCAGATCCAGTGGTTCTTGGGCACACCGACTGCTGCAGCCAACTGCGAGAGAAGCAGAGGCGGGGGGGGGGGGGGATATGCCAGGCTGCCCCAGCCGTACCCTCTCTGCCGGGCACAGGCTGATCCAGCAGTGTCCCAAGCTGCAAGAGCATAGCAAGCTCCACACACCCCCGGGTATTGCTATGGCATTTCTAATGTGCACATTAGGTATTACGTCACTAAATTATTTTACAAATCTGTTTTAAACATTAACTACAATATATTAATAGTAAGACTATACTTATTGGTTAACCGTTTAATATTTTACATCCCTATTCTAGATGTAGTAGAGTTCTTATTTCTGTCCACAATATCCAATGGTACAGAATGTGCAGTCACACAGAGAGCTTACTTGTCCAAGTACACGCTTGGCTATTCCAGACTGTCCCTTTTCTCTACTGCTCAAGTTCATCCCTCACTAGAGCCACACAATGAAAGAGCCTGTTATCCTGACAGAGCTAGTTATCCATTAGATCTGTCTGCTTTTTGGATGTTCTATTTTCAAATTAGTTCCTTAAGAAGAGCAAGACTAGGAATAGTTAAGTCTCAAAAGACTTGATGATCAAGTGGCGCTACATTACTGGCCCCACTACCTATGACTGGGCAGATAACCTCAAAATATGAGGCATCTCCTGCAATGCCAGCTGTTTGAGTGTGTTTAAGAGTAGGTTAGATAAATGTCTACCAGGGATGGTCTAGACAGTATTTGGTCCTGCCATGAGGGCAGGGGACTGGACTCAATGACCTCTGGAGGTCCCTTCCAGTCCTAGAATCTATGAATGCTGTTCCAGAGACCTGGCAGAGTGCAATGATCACAGGCAATGATCACAAATGTGGCAGGAAGCAGGAGGAGGACATGACAAGAACCACAGAAGTCTTGTAATCTCTATGAAAGCAGCATCAGAGTAACAGGAAAGAAGTTTACTATATACTACTGCTGACACTCTATCACAGCGTTCTTCATTGCAAGGCCCGCAAGCCAGTGGCAGCGCCCATCAACCCCAAGTGCGACTCCCTAAGTTCCCTCTAAGCTGCACGGCCACACAGCAGGCTATAAATAGCCGCACAGCAGCTCTAAAGGGCCACACATCAGAGATCTGGAGAGGAGAGAGGTAGGGGGTGGGCAGGAACTGGGGAGAGGAGCAAGTTGGGGCTTGCAGGCCTGCTGTGGGTCTCTCCCCTGGCCCCGGAGCTCCATTAAAAACAGGTATCAATAAAGTGTCTACATACTAATGACAGGACTTAGGTATTGCATGGTTAAGGGATTTAACAGCAGTAAGATACTGACTCTCACGGCAAAGTCCCTGGTTTGGTTTACTGGTACTACCATCTAATAGCAGTTCAGTGACCTATTGTACATTAAGTTGGTGATCTCTCAATACAGCTGTTGGTAGGCTTGTGTCACCTGACTATGTCCCTCAGTCCACTAACGAGCATCAGACAAAGAAAGAGAATGGAAAGTTCCTCTGTTAAAGCTAGTGCATTAGAGTAAGAGAGGGGGGTCACTGCTGGAGGATTTGTGGGAAAGTGTCTCTCTCAAGGATGGTCCAGTAGTAAGAACACTAGCTAAGGACTTGGGAGACCCAAGTTCAATTGCCTAATCCCCCAGACTTCCTGTGTGACCCTGGGCAAGTCACTTGGCTTCTGTGCCTTATCTGTAAAATGGGAATAATAGTCCTGCCTCACTCGGGTGTTTTGAGAGGATGAATACATTAAAGATTATGAGACACTCCACTACAATGGTGATGAAGCCATATACAAGTACCTAAAATAGATTAACTACGAATTCAAGAAAGGAAGCAAAACTGGTGGGCTACAGAACTTCAGAAGAAAAATTCAAAGTCTTGTCCTTGCCTCCAAGGCTCTGCTTCTCCTTGCTTGTCACTTAACGGTACTCAGTTATACCTCATCCATGAGGAAATGGAGATTGAACAACAAGGCCAAGAACAAACCTTAAGTCCGTATTATCTTACTCCATACCCATGTTGGTGAATCTGGCCACTTTCTGTAGCAGGTTCTCTTAACAGATATTGACTAAATGACGAAGTCACATTCAATAGGGGACAACTACAAAATTACAGAGTCAAGATACACAACACCAGAGTTGCAGAAAAAATGAATTCCAATGCTCTTAATGGGTATATCAAATATATTCCTTCCCAGATATCAATGTTCTTTTAACATTTATCAGAGCATTTTTCCTGAAACCTGCCAAAACAACTAAAAGTTAGAAAGATTTTCAGAGTTATGGGCATAATTTGGGAGGCAGAGGGAAATAGACCATTGTATCCAGCCGCTTTGACTTGCTCCACACTCCCCTAACCTCAGGTAACCTTCATTAGACCAAGCTGCTCCCTCAACACCTTCTGACCATGCTGCAGGTAAACCCATCTCTCCACCCACCGACCCTCTGCTTGAGCCTGCCGCTGCCTGCCCTGCAGCACCAGGAGCCAAGTCAGAGTGGGGGATGGAATTACAGTGGGAGAAACATAGGACTGGAAGGGGCTTGGAAAGGTCTTCTAATCCAGATCCTGCACTCAAGGCAGAGCTAAGTATTATCTGGACCATCCCTGACAGAAGACAGCTTGCGCTCTATAGCTTGTGTTCTAGCTACAGATTTGCTAAAAGTCTCTCTTTTTTCCCCTTTTCGAGAAGTTACTTTCATCCTCACTGAAGTATGGGTTGTTTCTTCCTCAGCATCCCACCTACTGAAGTACTGTGTTTTCTCAAAACAGTACCTCATTATTTTAAACTGTTCCATCTGGTTTGGGTTATTTCTCCCTCCCCTACAAGTAAGCACAATTATTCCATGGATAGCCAGCTATTGTCAAGGCCATTCAGTAATATAGCCATTAACAGGTTCTTGAAAACAAAATGAGTTCTTCCCCCAACCTCTTTACCAAGAAAAATATCATTCCTTGGAGGGTTGTAAACCCAAACCTTCCCCTCAGCAGCGTACTGCCACCAGACTGGTTTACTTTATTTACCAGCAAGATTCACTACAGCAAAGCTGTCGTCCAATGCAATTACAACAGGACAGAGGGCCGTAAAGGAGCTCTATATACTGATCTGCGTTATGTAAGATAAAAAACATACACCTTTCAAAGTTGGAGCTTGGTGTGTACCTGGTTAAAAAAAATCAATTATCTCAAATCAGAATACCTGTTCAGTGTAATCTAATGCCAAACACGAAGTGACAATTGCCACTTTGGAAAGTCCCGGATGTCATAAAATATCAGGAGACTAACACCACCACCTGGCTCTTATATAGCACTTTTCATCAGTAGATCTCAAAGTGTTTTACAAAGGAGGTCAATATCATCCCCATTTCAAGATGGGGAAACTGAGGTACAGGGAGGTTAAGTGACTTGCCCACATTCACTCATTAAGACCAGTGGCAGAGCTTGGAACAGATCCCAGGACCCCTGAAAGTTTGTGTCTGTGGACTAAATATTATGCCAATTCAAAACACATTTAAGTCAGAATTTAAAAGCCTGAATGTCTACCACTAGTATTAACATGAGAATAGCCTATTTACAAGGATTATCCTCTATGCAGGGATAGCCATACAACCTGAAAGTATTTTTTTAAATTAATTTTCTACCCATCCCAATTTCATTTGAAAGAACAAGAAACCAGTTTTCTTTTCCACTATCCTTTTCACAAGAGAGGAAAACTGCAGTTTCCCTAAGCAAGAGTATTGGGACAAGTTATGAATACACCTCTACCTAGATATAACGCAACCAGATATAACATGAATTCGGATATAATGCGGTAAAGCAGCGCTCGGGGTGTGTGGGGGGGTTGCATGCTCTGGTGGATCAAAGCAAGTTCGATATAACACGGTTTCACCTATAACGTGGTAAGATTTTTTGGCTCCCGAGGACAGCGTTATATCGGGGTAGAGGTGTATTACTGGGAGATCTAGCACAGTGACTACAAAGAAAACCAAATGTGATAAAACCCTTAACATCCAATATATTTTTACATAAACATGTTGACCTGGAATTACCCCACAGAATCTTATATTCCCACAATGCCAGGCACCTCTCTGCTCTGCGCCTTGTACAAGATCTCTCTGGCCAAGCAACTGCTCAGCTAGGGAGATTATTTATGGCAGTTGGAGCTGCAGGTAGAGTTTGTTCACTGTAGGCAGTTAAATTAACATGATGTTGTGTGTTACCTACAGCAAATGAAACAAAAATAAACAATGTTGAGAGTGAGATCAGGAGGACTTAGCCCTACAATATAACCATAATGTTCTGTAAGTCTCAATTCTAGATGGATTTCATAATATGCTAAAGGAGTTCCACAAAAGCATTAGCCACAACATATACAGGCAAGAGATTTTACTCACAAGCACCTTCAACACTACAAAACCTCAAACGAAATACACCAAATGGAAGTGAACTTATTGTTGGAAACTATACAAATAGATTTGTACCCCTACTATAGTCCTAGAACAAACCCCTTGTAAATGGAATATAAAGAGAAGAATAGAAATCTGCTTGATAGGACATATGTACAACTTACCGGAAGAATAGCATTTCTAAAGGAATATAGTATTTTGTTTTGCAGTTATTTCATAAGAATGTATAAGATACATGCAAAGTGACACTATTTAATTCTGTTTGGTGAAAGTGGCAAAAAAAGTGTGCTGGATCAGAAACACACAGAGCTGAAACCTTACACTCCTAAACTGTTTTCTGGGTTCAGATATTTAATTGTCAGATGTGGTGTTAATCATACTTCCCAAAAGAATTCATAGCTTAACTTTTTTTGCTAAACTTTTGTTTCAGTTCACAAAGGCCACTGCTGTGGACTAGACCTTCAATACTAACTCAGTGAGAAGATCCACCTGGAACAAACTGGTCTTCAACCACTACCTTCCTCAAAGAACAAAATATAAACGCATCAAGTTTTGCCTCCACTGGCTCTTCAGTGGAAAATTCTATCACCAGCTGTTTTTCTACATATTAAAATGGAATAATCTGAGACTAAAACCAGTCAAGCAACTCCTCCAGTTTTAAGCATGCATTACTCTCCTGTCACAACCATGCCACAGAAACTGATGAAATACTGTGGTATTAGACTGTACCTCAAATGAGCAATTTTCTAGTACAATAAAGGTGTAAGTACACCAGGTTCAGTTTAAGTACAATTATGTTTCATTATTCAATAAGGGTTTTATTATTTGTATTGTAGTGCCTACGGATGCTAATCGAGGTCCAGAGCTCTACTGCACCAGATGCTATGCAGACTGAGTAAGAAGACAGTGTCTACCCCAAATAGCTCATGTCATGACAAAGACTCCAAAAAAAGGCAGATGAAAAGCAAATGGAGGGGGGGCAGGAAGAGGGAGAAAGAAAACGACACAACAAGAAAGGGTAACAGGCAAGTGAGTTATTGCACACAAAAATTATCACCTTACTGCAATATGCTTAAGCTCCCCATCATTTTCAAATTCCAAGTCTGATATTCCTGAATAACTATGCCCTAAAGAAAATGCTTCTGAATTGATGTTAACATTGACAAATAGATAGTATATATAGATATTTCATAAAAAATACATTAAAAGAATAGTAAGGTTGCAAAGTAAAGCATTCTTAAGTTAGAAAATGCCAGGATTAAGGTTGCCCATGCATCTTCAACTCAGCCCCCTCACATTAAAATAGTCTTTAATCACATGATCACACACTATTTTTCTACAAAATATGCCAGTAAGTCTTTGAAGTATCCACAAAGATGCATAAGCCTTGCAAAATCATGCAGCCTGCTCTCTACAGTTCACTCACTGAAGACTCCATCATCATGACATTTAGCCAATCTTAAAAATAATTTAAATGCAGATTTGGCTAGTTTTAGGAAGGTGTGGTTTGTGTAGCAGGGATTCAGCAATATCTTCCTCTCAATGACCACTACAGACCCCGTTGCTGAAAATAGCATTCAGGTCCTGAGGATGTCCTGGTAAAAGACAGACAACGTGGAGATGTCTTGGGGAAGACCTCTTGGATGGAGAAGAAAAAGCTGCTGGTCATATCACAGCCCTTGGAGGTGGTGGAGGAAGGCATGCACTGGCACACGCCATGCCAGACTATGAGCATTGTATGAGTCTCTGCAGGCCTGAAGGTGGCTGTGAATCTTTATCGTTTACCGAGTTTGTGTTACTGCAGTTTTTTCACTTGTTTTTTCCATATTGGCTCTTTCTATAAATGATCTTGATAACAGGTGTTCAGTTCCTTATATCATGACTTTCATACAAATGATACTAAGCATTTTACTTTCCAGTTCCCCTGGTTCCTCCTCACTATTTTTTCTGTTTATATAGTAGTTTAAGGTTTTATTCCAGACAGTCTGCATCAAGCTGTTTTTGTTCTAGTGACCCCTTTAGTGATACAGTCTGAGTATAATGTTTCAGGGTACTTTAATAGCAATTTCCTTCTCTATGCCTTCCTTGTCTTGAGATCCTCAAGAGCAGCCAGGATGCTGATTTCTCACCATGAGTCCTTGTTATGGAGAGTGCTGATAATTTATTCATTGCTGAATTTTGTTGTTAACCATCTTTCGCAATGGGTGAGAGATGGGCAATTTAGATTAGGGAATCATTTAAAAACAAAGGGAAAACAAATCTCCATGAAGCACTGCAGAAAGCACCAGTGGACATCTTGCTTTCACTGCAAAGTCAACTCAATTATGACTCAAGTTTTGCCCTAATTTGAATCCCACACACACAGCTCAACTGTGGTGCTGCTTTTAACTTAAGTTGGCTGGCCCATCAGCAAGCAGAGGCTAAAGCTAGAATTGCCAGCTGCTAACATGAGCATTCTGCATCGTGGATACAAGCTAGCTCCACTTGACTGACTAGTTCATTATTTGTATTGCTATAGTGCCTAGAAGCTCTAGCGATAGACCAGGACCTCCCTGTGCTAGGCAATATACAAACATTACAAAAAGAGACAGGCCCTGCCCCAAAGAACTTACAACCTCCAATACCTTTGCAAAATTCCTCTCATATGCCCAGAACACACAGACAAGTTCTCCCACAATTCACTGGGAAAGAATTAATAGTTTTAGTGCCAGACATAAGTGAGTGCAGCACCAGTGTGGACGCAGCATCTTGGTGCTATTTAGCAGTGTGGGCACTCTCACTCAAGCTAGGCTCGCTCAAGAAAAACAAGCATAGAACAGTTGAGCTAATTCAGTAGTGAAGACATACCTTGAATAAGTCCCCTCCCATCCCCACTGAACACCAAGGGGGTGTGAGGTAGCTAAGAACAAGGGATCCCACCACCACCTCTTCAACATCTTCTTTCCGCAGACGAGGAAGGGGCAGTTGAACCACACCATTGCTTTGACCTCCTCCAAGATACATCTCACTTTTTTGACAGCACCCAGACTTCCTTCAGCAGCCTCAGCCCCAACCCTAACCTGATTGAAGGATGGCTACTAACCCCAGCCCTGTGAGATTATGTCATGCCACAAGCTACATGGTCTCTGCACCAATGGAACGCCATAAGGCCTCAGTGGGAAAATGGAGGGAGTTCTATTTTTCCTACCAAAGAACCATGCAACAAGAGAACATGTACAAGATGTACATGAAACATGTACAAGAGACTGGAAAAATGGCACACTGGTATCGCCTGAGTTTCATCCAATATGGCCTCAGAAAATGTACAGTATTGACATGTGCCATAATATGTTCAAAACTATCAAGGAGGAGGTTTCTGGATAGTAGTAGCTCATACCAGTTACAACCTGGTACCTATGCGAGTATTACTGTGCCAACTACAGGCACCTTTTGGAAACAGTGGAAGCAAGACAACAGAGCTGCCAAAACTCAACACGCTATTTTGAACAGAGAAACAAGAACACTGTGGGGCTGAATCCAGCTGACCCACTACATCTTTTCACAGGCAAGAAGCCAGTCAACCCACTATGCTAACGTTTTCACTTGACCCAGGTGACTTAACAGATAGCAACGGCAATTAGCTCAGTCCAGCTATTAAAGATATTAAAGCATCAAATGCAATGCTCCCCATTTATTAAAGTGGCTTTGAAAATTAAATTGTTTCAGATGAAATTGACTACAGTGGAACATATATATCAGTGCACCAAATCCTCCTCTGCAACCCAGATTGTGATGTGCTAATTCAAACGCTAAAAAGACTACCTTATTATTCCTGTTATTCTGCAGCCCCTCCATAACCATGCAGAGACACAGGTAAAACCTGAGAGAGACAAGGCAGGTGACAGGTAAAACCTCATCAGCTGCTCTTGCATTCAAAGTATAATTTCAAACAGTGGTTCTTATCCTTTACTGCAGCCTGCACCCCCCTTTTGGTTCTCAGAATACGTTCTCGCACCCCTTAAACCTAGATATATTTTGCTTGTATATTACAGTAATCGTTAAAAAATGTATAATGTTAATAAATACATAGGTTTGATGAAACAAAGTAGTTGTACTTACTGCCTGTGCTTAATTTGTGTTTTCGATGATTTACCTTCTAAAAAAATCTGGCACGTCTCACACCTCCAGAATGGGCATCTTGCACCCCAAGTTAAGAACCACTGATTTAGAATTTCAAGTTATTTGAAATAGAAAACTAAAGTACAAATTGTAAGTTCTTTACAATAACAAGTAAAATACACACTAGCTTCTATATACTCAAGCGGCATCCCTGAACTAAATCAACTTATTAGTTCCTTGAAGAAAATGTCTCGTCTGTTTTACCTTCATTCGCACCTGAGACACTTTCCTGCACCTAAAGAAGTCACTAAGAAGAGAAGCAAGGGGCACTGTCCTCTTTCCCTTCTATTGCTTAGAAAATTAAGGGGAAAAACATTCTCCCATTATGCTTTTACTACATTTTTTTTTTAATATAAAGTAAAAGGAGTGAATTTAGGGTGACCATTTGTCCAATTTTATAGGGACAGTCCTGATATTTGGTTTTTTTCCCCTATATAGGCACCTATTACCACCGTCATCCCAATTTTTCACATTTGCTATCTGGTCACCCTAAGTGAATTTCATATTGGTGAGATGCTATAACCCAGAGCTATGGAAGCTTAGCTACACAACTCAAAAACCAACTGGAGGGAACTCCCCAGGCCAATACAGGTAGCCTTAAATCTTTTACTAATAATTTGGGTCCGTTCTGGGAGTCTAACCAGAGATGCCAACTATCATATGGTCTCCATGGCACCTTGACTTACAACCAAGTCACTGCACATAGTAAGTATCTTACGGGTGTTTACTCACCATCAATCCAGATCAGATTTGAACGAATGAGAGATGGTAACTGCAATAACACTTAATCCTCCAAGTCAAACTCCCTGTTTTACTAATTCATTTCTAGTGTTTAAACTCAGGGAGGGAATGTTGCGTATTTACTCATTTTAGTACTGGGAATCCATCATTTTTCTGAGGTCTCATAAGAGGCCAGCGAAGGGGAAATAGCAGTTTAAAAGTTAGGCCTTGTCTACACTGGCAAGTTCCTGCTCAGTAAAGCAGTTTTATGCGGTGTAACTCCCAAGGTGTACACACTGCCAAACCACTTAGTGCACAGAAACTGCACAGTTGCAACACTGTAAAAGAACCACCCCGACGAGAGGCATACATATTTCTGCGCCAGGGCTACAGCGCCGCGTGTAGACACCCTGGTTGATTATAGCACTGCAATTGGTCTCCAGGAGATGTCCCACAATGCCTGTTCTCACCTCTCTGGTCATCGGCTTGAACTCTACTGCCCTGCCTTCAGGTGACCAACCGTGAGCCCCACCCCTTAAATTCCCTGGGAATTTTGAAAGTCCCCTTCCTGTTTGCTTGGTGATGCGTTCAGTGGTCTCAGCGTATCTTTCCGGGTGACCATGCCTGCTCCACACACTAGACGATCCCCCGTTTGGAGTAATGCCAAGCTGCTGGACCTCATCAGCATTTGGGTTGAGGAGGCTGTCCAGTCCCAGCTGCGCTTCAGCCGTAGGAATGATGATACCTACAGACAGATTTCATGATGCAGGACAGAAAGGGGCCATGACCAGGACACACGGCAGTGCAGGGTCAAAGTGAAGGAACTACGGAACGCCTACCACAAGACACAGGAGGCAAACCACCGGTCAGGTGCTGCGCCCACAAGCTGCCAGTTCTACAAAGAGCTGGACACGATACTTGGTGGCGACCCCACATCCACTGTGAACGCCACTGTGGATACTTCAGTGGCTCGCATGCCAGTCGAGAGTGGACTGAGCCAGGAGGAGGAAATCTTGGACGAGGATTTGGAGGGGGACCCAGATGCAGAGATGCATGCAGCCAGGAGCTCTTCTCTACCCCAGAGGAGGCTAGCCAGTCACAGCTGTCGGAGCTTGGCAAAGCGCAAACAGGAGAGGAGGCCCCTGGTAAGTGGCTTTGATTTTGGGAATCGCTTAAGTGAGTTGTTGGGGGCAGGAGGGTTGCAGAAAGCAGGCTTGTGTCTGTATGATGCAGGTACCACCACATGCCTAGTCTGAGCGAAGGAACAGGGTGTTGATTGACTCCCTCACTTCACAGGAATCTGCCTCAGATCTCCATGAAACTCATGGAGATTTGGGCAACCCGCTGCCACAGGTTCTTTGGCAGAGTTGCTTTGTTTCTTGCCCCATTAAGGGTAACTACTTTCCCACGCCACTCTGCCGTCACTGGGAGGGGGATGAGGGGCGGCGCACCATTGCTGCAAACAGGCGAGCCGCATAAGGGCCAGGGCGGAAGCCGCAGACTTGGAAAAGACCCTCCCTTGATTCCCTGTTCACCCTCAGAAGCGAGATATCTTCTATAATGAACACAACCTGGGGAAAATGTGGGCACATTATAAAGCCCCCCCTACAGTGCTGGCTCTCCCCAAGAGCCATGTGCCCAGTGTACAGTACAGTCCTGGAACACTGATTTCCCCTGCGGTTACTCACCATTTTGGGGGTCTTGTGGCCCATGTGTGCTTGCCTGGGGTCAGCCAGTTAGCAACAGGTATGGGAATAGGGGCTGTGTTTTAAATCACTGAATCAGTGGTCTCGGTGTTGCAAACAATATTGCTTCTGTAAAATGTTGCATTTTAGCTTCACAGATATGACCATGGGAGCCCAGCCTCCCTCTTTGTTATCGCTGTCTGAACAGCTGCGCAGAATTAGAAAGCAACCACAAAGAACTTCTGTGTGATGTCATAATGCACTCCGCTGCCGAAAAACAAGAATTGAAGGAGTGGTGGGATAGCGAGAAGAGGGACCAAAAGGAGAACGCGGTGCACCAGAATGAATCCACGGAGCGGCTCTTAAATGTTATGAAGCGCCAAGCGGACACGCTCCAGGCACTACTAGCACTGCAAACCAAACAGCTTCGCGCCCGCCCTCTTCTGCAGCCGCTGTCGCAAAACTCTTTCCCATGCGCCCCCCAGACACCACCACCACACTCTTATCAACCTCCTGGCTCCAGTCTGTACCCACTTCATTCCACTCCTGCTCCATCACAGTCTAGTCCTGAGGACTCTCAGTACCCACTGCAATCAACACCTGTCCCGCTGCAGTTTAGCCCTGCTGAAGTACAGTACCCGCTGCACTGTACTCCAAAGGACAAGGTTGCATACAATACCTGGACATACACAAATTTTTAACCGTCCCGGGACCCCAACTCCTCCTCCCTTCCCCATCCCCTACAGTGCTGGTGTGTTTTTTTGTTTGTCTCTCCCCTCCAGTTGTTTTTTAATAAAAGAATTGTTTTGGTTTAAAGGCAATCTTTATTCCGTTACTTGAAAGCAAACAGAGCCCTGCAAAGCAACAGGCAATCATCTGCACCAATCACAATCACCTCCTAGCATTACAAGCTCACTTGGCTAATGCTTTGATATATAAACCTATGTAGTGTTTGTAGCTTTTTTGCTTCTCTTGAAAACACTATCAAATAACTGCTGTCATTCTGTATAAACACTTGAAGATAGGACTTCTTGAGAACCTGGAAACTTGTGTATTTATGTTACCTGCAAATCTGTTTCTAACAAACTGGAGGAAAACAGTCACATGAGTGATCTATGAAATACACCTTTATTCCTACAGCTATAAATACATACATTAGTAAAAACAAAACAAAAATTACAAGCACTGCACTCCCGAGCATAGCAACATATAGTAGTGGCTTTCAGCTTCAAATTGCTGCCTCAAGGCATCCCTGATCTTTACGGCCCTGTGCTGTGCCCCTCTAATAGCCCTGATCTCTGGCTGTTCAAACTCAGCCTCCAGGCACTGAGCCTCAGCAGTCCAGCCCTGAGTGAAGCTTTCACCCTTCCCTTCCCAAATATTATGGAGCATACAGTATGCAGCTATAAGCATAGGAATATTATCATTGGCCAGGTTCAGTCTCCCATACAAGCAACGCCTGTGGGCCTTTAAAAGGCCAAAAGCACACAACAGTCATTCTGGACTTGCTCAGCCTGTTGTTGAACCGCTCTTTGCTGCTGTCAAGGTGCCCATGTATGGCTTCATAAGCCACAGCATCAAGGGGTAGGCAGGGTCTCCCAGGATCACAATGGGCAGCAAGGTGTAGGCAGGGTCTCCCAGGATCACAATGGGCATTTCGACTTCCCCTATGGTGAGCTTCTGGTCCGGAAAGAAAGTCCACTTGCAGCTTCCTGAACAGGCCAGTGTTCCGAAAGATGCGTGCATCATGCACTTTTCCGGACCAGCCTGTGTTAATGTCCGTGAAACGCCCACAGCAATTCTCAAACATCTGGAGAACCATAGAGAAATACCCCTTACAATTAATGTATTCAGTGGCTAGCTCGTCTGGTGCCAGAATTGGAATATGCGTGCCATCTATCGCCCTCCGCAGTTAGGGAAGCCCATTTGTGCAAAACCATCCACAATGTCACACACGTTGCCCAGAGTCACAGTCTTTCAGAGCAGGATGCGATTAATGGCCCTGCACACTTCCGTCAACACAAGTCCAGCGGTCGACTTTCCCACTCCGAACCGGTTAGCGACCAATCAGTGGCAGTCTGGAGTAGCCAGCTTCCACAGTGCAATTGCCATGTGCTTCTCCAACGACAGGGCAGCTCTCATTCTCGTGTCCTTGTGCTGCAGGTCTGGGGCGAGATCATCACACAGTCCCATGAATGTAGCTTTCCTCATCCAAAAGTTCTGCAGCCACTGCTCGTCATCCCAGATGTGCGTGACGATGTGATCCCATCACTCAGTGCTTGTTTCCCGAGCCCAAAAGCGGCGTTCCACTGTGGTCAGCACCTCCGTAAATGCCACAAGCAATCGCATGTCATAGCTACTACGCGTGGCGAGATCAATGTCGAACTCCTCTTGCCTTTGTAGTTTACGGAATAACTCCACTGCCACTCTTGACGTGTTTGAGAGCGAGCAGCACATTGGTCAACAGT